TCGATGAATCCCAGTGCTACCGATAAATATTAATGTGGTTCCGAATCTAATTAATATACATAGGGCGTCTCACAAAATATCCGGTATAAAAACAAAAAGAAAGTGACTGAATCGTTTATGTCAGTGCACAGTCCGGCAGTGATGGTGGTTGTTTAGTTTTTACTTCACACTATTCAGGATTATTGTGTTTACAATGGATACTAGCTATATCGTAAGTATAACAGTTATTATCATGGATGTGTAAATCAATATTCTTTTCTATGAGACCAGTAACTTCAAATGTACGTATGTTAGAGGTCAGATAAGTGTTTATACAAAAAAATTTTTGTTACGCCCCAAAGTAATCACAAATTTGAAGATAGCAACCTTTTCAAAATTTTTGGCCCCTTAATTATTTTTTTGACTATGGTAAAAAATTGTTAGGAATTGTAAAAAGCATTTTAAATGATCTGAGACTCCTCTGTTTTTTGTTCACAACTCTTCTGTTGCTATTTCGATGTTCAAGACAATAAATGCAAGTCGAAAATGTTCGCATTCAAAACACATCTTTCGGTTATATGTCGAGAATAGAAGATCCTTATGCTGCAAATCTTGTATTTCAACTACAAAGAACATTAAATTTTGTTAAGTTGATGGAACTTAGGGCCATATCGTCAGTTGTAGGACGTTATGGCCTCCTTGATTTTCATAGTCTTTTTTATCTTTCAGAACGGCTGTAATATTTCGAGTTTTCTACTGTTCCGTGTCAGCGTTCTATTTTGAGGTTATGTTTCAAATAACTATTTGCATAAAATTGTTCATGCGTTTGATTTATATCATGTGTTATATTAGCCTGAAATTTTCTACAATTCAAAAAAACATCTTCACAACAGAAGAGCGCTGACGCTGACACGGGACAGTAGAAATCTAGAAATTCCCAGCCCTTCTTAAAATCGAGGAAGCCATTAAGGCGTCCTACAATTGTAGGAGCGACTGACGATACGACCCTTAGACTGTGCGACGAGACTAAACTTCATAATCTGAGCACGATATTCTTATTAATTGTATTAATTGATTAATAACTTTATTGAATTCTAAGCCAAGAAATGCACATCATCGAATTTTTGTGATTTAAACAAATCAAGCTTTCGCTAAAAAAGTGTGTTTGCAAGGACACTTCAGCTAATTTATATGTACGGAAGATAGGATATGTTTAAAAATCGCGTCACTAAAATAAAAGTAGCTGTCTCCTCTCTTCATTAAAATGTTCACAGGTATTTTGTATAATTTCCCTCCATAAATCAAGTCATTAAAATTCTGAGCACAAGCCCGGTACACATAGTAAAAGTTTTGCTACAAGAACGGTGGTCAGTCTTACACTCTTCATTCATGTTGTGGTGTAGTATTAATTATGGCGTACTACTATGATACTGTAATACGTCCAATTTATAAGCTGATAGCATACAATTTCGAGATGTTTCCAATACAGTTGTTTTTAAGACATGAGGCAAACATGTAAGGGGTGATTTCTATAGATAGAGGACTATTTTGTGTTGTGCCAATTTCAAGAATTTTATTAACAAAAACCAAAAGCGAATCTTCGCAAGACTTGAATATGCTGCTATAAGAGCACTCTTTCAAATACCCCAGAGTTGTTTCTTGTTGCACTACACCCAGATTCGGTTTTTCAAAGGGGTTGTATGAACTCATAACTCAGGGAGTAACTTAGAGGGGCTTAAGTCCTTAGAACGAGCAGGATATAAGTTAGGCCCCGTTCAGTATATCCAACGATCTTTATATGTTTTTTCTCTACAAAGGAAATATATTTATTGACATTATTAAAAAATATTTCGTAAATATTTGTTCGCCCTGTTTATTTTAGGTAGTCTAAAGATGCAACTATTGGTTTTGTGTTTAACCATGCCTCTACTACCATTTTTATTTCACTTAAAATTTCTAAAATGAGATATTAGGTTTATTGAATATTAAATGACGCGTACATCAGGAAAAACCGGTATGTATATCTGTCCGCTAATCCTTGGCCCGTCTATAACTTGGAAAGTGCTGCTCGGATTTGGAAGACATTTTTTCACTCACAAGGTCCCTACTATGCCATATTTTGAAGGTCGTAGCACTGGAGAAAACAGCCAAAAAACGAATAAATAAAAATCGCTCAAACCCCCTTTTTTAACGTTTCAGATAATCCTGATCATTTCTCAAAAAATGTTAAGTGTAAAAATTAGGTGGTAGAGATTGTACGGGCGTGGGGGAGGGTATATCTCATTTTTGGTGTTAAGATAATTATTTGCTCCCAGCCTCTATATTTCTACGCACCTATTAGATATATTTCATACCTAATAGATTTCAACAAAGATTAAAGCTTGAAATGTAAGAGAAATGTTTCCGATGCGCCTCTGCTTTTGCTCCCGGCGGTAAGTGTTCTGGTATTACTGCCACGCTGACGTGTCTGATCGGGTTAGGTATCGGGGAGAGGCAACGATGAGAGGTGGACTACCAGCATGGTAAGAATGCCTATATACTAATTGTATGGATCTGTTTGACTGACTTGACCCGTTTGATTTCTCTGTTAACTAACTTATTTCTCAGAGCGCTTAACTTGTATTGTTATAGGAAGTGCTGAGTCAATCTACATGACGCCATTTTTTACTATAAAAAATTGTGGAGGTGGATTACTTATAATCAGTCAAAAACTAAAACATTTTTTTATAATCCAACTACCACGGAGGCGAAGGAACACGTGTGCATGCAACATACACACATTTTCGCCCCGCTTACGAGATCCGTCGAGTGGTACCTCCGCGTTCGACAGTCAAAGACCGTCTAACACAATCACAACATCCATAGCCAAGAGAAAAAATGTTCTTGGGACGGGATCGGAACCCGCGCAGCGCACAGCGACTGATCAGGAGACCGAAGAGTCTACCACTGCACCGATAGCAAATTTTAAGGAGTTCCAATTTAATTGCACCAAACCCACTTTTTTCAAATTACAACTTAGTTTGGAATATAACTGAACTTGATGAATGATTTCTTTTGAATGCAAGTAAAGGTACACAACTAGCAAAGTAGTGGTATAAGCTTTTGGTAAAAGATCCGTTCAGCCATAAAAGCTCTCTATTGTTGTTGCCTGAACACCAAAATGCTGGCTTAATGTTGTGTGGAATGCAAATTTGCTTTCTGCAACATATTTGCTCTAAAATGAGGTGTTTAAGATATCCTTATAGCGTAGTTATCCTTATAGGACAAATTTTTAACTGTTGCATAAACGTCTATACAACTATTTTATACGGCATATTTGCACGTTAGTCAAAATGGTAGTGTTGTGGCATCCATGGTAACGTTTATAAAACAAGCCCGAGCCTTGTTGTTTTGCTGTTCAATTTACTACTTTAGTCAACAAATTGCTCCCAACGGAAGCACTTATACAACTGTTGTTTAGTAACTGTTAAAGGCTGTACATATGCTAAATATGTTGGTATACAACTTCACCATAACCTAACTTTCTGCTGTCATATTTTTGTTAAAATGCCATAACCAATGTTTTAAGACAAACAACGCATGCATATTGGTTCAAAATGTTTTATCAACTGTTCAAACAGAAGATATAGATCTGGTACAAATTCTGGGTAAATCATTCGTCTCTATCGGTACCTATTTCATTTCAGACATTTGTCAAATTGTTGTATAACACCTGCAGGCAACACCAAAATATTCTAATAACCTAAAGACAACATGGACGATGCCATGATTATACACAACCACCCGCCATATTGGGCAAACATTTATTCCTCTATTTAATATTAAATAATTATGTTTCAGTTCGAAACTACAGATATAAAGTGATAACCATTAGTGTAATTGTGTCTAAATATAGGATTTGTGGAAGATTTAACGCAGATAAGTTCAGTTTTCCATCTTAAAAATCTAGACATACTTTTGATCATCATCAAAATATGAATCAAATACGAAGCCCGTAGAAATTGCGTAACTAATTTGCACGATAATCACAATGAAATTTGATGCGCAAGTAATTCAATAGCTCTATATCACAGTGTAGAAGTTATTATATACCTGTGTATGAAATTCACAATGGCCGATATGTAAGTAAACAAGATGACTGTAATGTGTTAGTTATATATTCTTCACTTCGTCTATACAATACATAAGAAATAGTTTGGTTGCAATAAAGTAGAATCACGTAACAGAATAGTTGTATAGTTGACAAAAACTGAATCTTGCACTGACGCAAATGTCCTATAGCGGCTGCAAGAAGCTTACACTTTTGTTGTATAACTGTTACCTGCAGCCCTTATACAACCTCTTGAATGACTGAAGTGTCCTATAAGGTGTGCCCATTCCGCTTGTATAGCAGTTCTAAGAGGGTTTTGCCAATGTTCTTACAGTATACAATGCTGTTTAAGGAATACTGTATAATCATTCTTGCAACTCTAATAGGAGTGATAATTGTTAGTTGGGTAGTGGCAATGAAAATACTTGACTTAATTTTTATAATAGAGACAACCTTCAGCAACAACTACTATTATGCTTACAATACATCCTTGCAAGTTGGAAGATTGATTTGCATCTTGTGTTAGTTTTAGATAAATTTTTAAAATCAGCTGGAGATCTTTTCACCTTCAGACTTCACAAATAAAATATGGATCTCTCATCCTGCTCTTGAGCCTTAACCGGTATCTTATATTATCTTAACAATAAGCGTCACAACCTTTGTAGTTTAGTTTTGGCATATTTGTACATCATCTACTAATCTACTGTCACTGTTTACCAAACCATTCTTCTATTTCAGATCATTGTCGTGATTATAACAGTCCTATCATCGTCGCTAAATGTAGCAGGTGACTTGCAGCAAACCAAACAAGCCCATCTGGACCCAACTAATAATGAAGAAGATACAGGGACTGTCAAAGACCACTCAAAGCGAACAATATTTGCTCCGTCACATAACGCTGCCTGGGCTAAGCACGTCGCAGTTAAACCAAATGGTGCAAGGCACCTCATTGGTTACAGTCCCGTGGACTACAGGTTGATCTTTCATTTGCATTCTTAATGAAAAAACTGATAATATAATAAAGTTTTGTTGGATTTGTCCAAAGATGTAAGAGTGTTAGTCGCGTACTCAAATGTTTCACAGACCGAAACTTATCATATAATTAGTTTTGGAGATTCACAAGTCACGTGGATTGTGAGGTTTCAAAATTAGAAAAATGAGCAGCCTAAATGAAAGTTCTAAGTCAACTAGGTTTTGAATGCACTAAAAATGACCACAAGCAGGCCTTGATTGATTCCAGGCGTCAGTGGATTTACATTAAAAATCAAGTTTGTTTAATAATAGAGAGACATCATCTGCTTCCAAGCCTACTTAAAGACCCAATCTGTCAACCGATTTGGGTGTCATAATAATAACCACTGCCTCACATCAAAAATTTTTTCGAAGATCGGTACTTTCCAAAATTAATTTTATAGAAACATGGCACGGCTCACAAAAGCCTTCAATTTCTTGTTCTTGAAAGCTAGTCATGATTCGACTTCAGCCCATGCGTTATGTTTGTCTTCATGCTCTTACTTTATTGATAAAGCTTCTCGCTACAGGTTCACAGCTGTTTTGAAACCAGTGGTTAGGCACCCTGGATACCGATACGAAAAGCCTAAGATCCAATTCCACTTGAAAAAACCAGGAGGATGGAAACCAGTAAGGCCAGCTGGTTTGCCAGTTAATGTACCACCACCGATTTCGAACCCAATTCACTTCGATCATTTCCATACTACTGGGGCTGGCCATTTGGATGTTATCCACAATAGACCAGTACAGCATATAGATCATATCCATACCAGGCCAGAACACATTCACTTGGACCACATCCATACTAGGCCGCAACATATCCACTTCGAGCATATCCACCAGGTATTTTTAACGAAAAATGCAAAAATTTATATAGGGTGATCAAATAACTGAAGTAATTTTTCTGGGTCAAAAAGTACGTCCAAGGGGTATCTTAAAAGCTTCTAAATTGCTAAATCATCAAAAATTTAAGCAATACACACAAAATATTTGCTGGTACAATTTAAACCGGTACAGAATAAAAAAAAATCATGTCACTGATATATTTTATTTATCTATCGCATTTTTTAATAAGGTAATGTTTTTTGATTATGCTTTTTCAGATGTATCACTTAAAAAAACTGGTCGGAGTGCTGTTTGAATGGCATTCATGTTTGTACCCTTGATCAGTAAGATCGATGACGTGGACAAGAAACACTTTAGAACCTGGTTTTTTAAGATTTTTTTGTGCTACTTTCTAATCTACTTATGGCCTTAGAAATATCTTTACTATTTTTTGGTCGCCATTTATACAATCAGTAGATAAACGTCAAATACTATTCAGCTGCTTGATTTCGATTAAACTAGGTACCCGTCCAGCAATTAGCCCTAGCTCCACAACCAGTTGCAGTAAGTCCAACAATTCCGCAGCCTCTACCAGTCCCACTTGTACCTCAGCATGTTCCTGCTCCTCCACCAGTGCTGCATCACCCTGCTCATCTAGTGCCTCCAACTCCGTTCTTCGAGGTTACGAAGCCTAACTTGGGTGTGCTGCCCTTCGGAGCAGTGTTCAATACCCATGTTCTGAGGGAGTTACCAGCTCCACAGCTCAGACCAGTGTTGCCAGCCTTCACACCAGCAGCTCCAGCTGTGCCTTTACCTCCGGCGGTACCAGTAGCTCCTGCAGCGCCAGTAGCTCCAGTACCCGGTAAACGCCTTTTTGAGTACTTTGTGCGCGTTAACCTATCGTTGTTATTTATGAGTATTGAGCCAAACATTTATGAAAGAGTTCTTTCCCAAACAGGCGTATTGCGTATTCCAAATTAGATCTTCAATAGTGGGATTTCAAAAATGATAAGAGATATGGGGAGGGTTAAATAGGGGTAAAGTTGCGCACTTAAGAAAAATGCACCTGAAAAGTGTCTAAAACGTATTTTCGCAGATTTGTAGAAAAGTAGCCTTCCCCAAAGTGACTATTTTAGATGACACTTCTCTTTCATATTGCCATCTTTCGCTTATACAAAGTTATATAATTAGTATTTCAGTACATTTTGCATAAGTAGCGTCTTTAATTCCGAGAATCAGAAGAGGGGTTTCTCGGCTCTAAAAATAACTTAAATTTGAAGTTGATTACGTCTATGAGATTTTTGCATTAATATATATTGTTTTTTATTTTTCTGGTTTAAAATATATCATATCATATATTTAAATGCAAAAGTTTCAATGTTGCGATCAACTTAAAATCTTAGTCACTTTCAAGGCCGTTGTGAACCCTCAACATTTCAACAATTTATAAAAAGTCAAAGATTGATATTGCAAAACTTATTTAAATTAAACTCTTATTTTGTATACAATCTCAAAAAATTGACAGAATTTAAAAGATGTTTTCCTGTACTATTTTGTTTTCTGGCGACTTTCTGAATAAATAGTGCTTCATTTCGGAGACACAGGACGCCACTGAAAATGAGGTGCTGTTATATAATAATGAAAAATATATATAATAATATAAATGGACGAACCTTTGTCGGCATAATAACTCATATGCTTCTATCGGTGGAAAACAATTTACTCATTTAGATCGCCAGCCCTAACACAATATTGCCAATTTTTTCACACCCTGTTTATTATTAAGATCATCAAAAATTGTATTCTTTGAAGGTCTAATTCTTCAACTGTAAAATAAGTATTCATTTTCGATGGAAACAATCATGTTGGGTGTCAACTGGTTACTGTTCTGTCAAAGTTTCGTTGAATTATGCAGTTTATTTAAAAAACTGTCTTACAGTAGCCTTTCTTTCGGAAACGATGGTATATTTCGGAAATAATTAGAGCATAACATACTACGTTGCTGAGGACATATGGCTTCAAGAGTACTGTTTACGAATCACGTGCCGATATGTTTAATACAGAGGCTACAAAGCTTTCAACATTCGAATACAGAACCAGGTCCGTCACGAATTTAATATAATTTAAGCAACGTACTAATTTAGCTTCAAATTATCTCTAGAAATCATCCATCGAATGTTTACCTAATATTTTAAGATAAGAATGAAAATTGACAATTAGCATTAAACTACATTTATTGGAAATTAATAGACGTTTCATTAGACATCTAACATTTCAATGTTACAGCTCCAGCATTCCCTCTACCACAGCCAGCACCAGCAGTCTCAGTCGTACCAGCACCACAACCTCTTCCTGGACCACCTAGTTTTGCAGTGCCGTCCCATTCTTACCCTCCTGGTACCACAGTCGAGTACCACGGAGGCACCAACTTCGTGAACCTTCTAAACAACCAAGTGCCAGTACAACCTCAAGTTCCTGTGAACGCTGCTCATCCTATCCTCCCTAATCACTTCCATCTGCAATATCCTCAGATACCACAGCATGCGCAGGCTCCTGTGGAATACCCAGAGCCAAATTACTACAATCCACATGTGCATCAAGTCGGTCAACCTCATTTCCAGGAAGCGGTACACCCACACCAACATCTGCCAAATGGTCAAATTGATTTCCAAGAGGCTGGGCATAATATCTACCAACAGAATGTCCCCACATCTGACACTAGTCATTTCCAGCAAGAATCTGAGCAAAATGCTTTCCAACATAACCAACAACAACCCGAGCGAAACCAGTTACATTACTCACCAGCAGACCAAGTGAGTACTCAACAAATCTATTTTAACCTACCTCCTGAATATCAAGGTCAGCAGAACACAGAAGAACAGGGGTATCAGTATCCTCAACCAGGAGGTTTGATACAACCAGGACAAACTGATCTGCAACTACCTTTACATTTACCTCACCATCCAGGGTTCGAAGGGACCAATAGGGATTTGCAGGTTAATAACGATAGTGGTTTCAAGCCATCGATACAACTGGAACCTCCATTCAAGAAAAAGTAATTAGCAAAATCTGTATAGAAGATTGACGAATGCTATGCTTCATTTTTGCTATTTATGATTCCACGTATTGCTGTTGAATTTAGGTGAATAAGGCATCGTCATATTGATGGGTCTTAATGTCTATGTATTCACCAATAAATAAAGAAAAACTCTTATTGACCTATTGACCGATTCTTCTTCAATCTTCGAGAATTAAGGCACAGTCTTTGATAAAAAAAGTTAGACTCAAATGTGTTATAAATATTTTTATAATCTCTTAGATAAGATTAACTTATTGTTGTTGTGTAAATATGTTGTATTTTTGTAATAAAACATTTTGATATAATCACTCTTTCATTAACTTCCCATTGGACCCCGAAACGTCGACACTTTTTAAAATTACTCGTGGTTGCTTCTTTGACCGATTGTGACCAATAATTGACTCCTCATCTTAGCGTTGAAAAATGAGTTTTGTTGATTCGTACAGGTTTGGTCTTCCAAAGTAAAATGGCAAAGTACAATTCAAACGCTGTTACAATCTATAGTCAATGAGGTTTGTTTTAGTTTTGCTAGTTACAGTAATCATCATATTAGAATATGGTACCGTATTAAGACAATGGGGAATGGATATTATCTGAAAACCTACTGCAAAGCTATTTAAAGGTTTCTTGTCTAATCACACATTGGAATCTCCATTGAAATATTGGTGTTCGTATTTTCATTTTCTCAAAAACTGGTTACGAGATTTTAAGTACTTTTGAATCCATGTAGTATTTTACGTAAAAATGAGTACCGTTTTACTGTGGTCAAAAACTGGGCGTTGTAGGGGGTGGAGAATCGTATACGACGGATGTCTTTTAAGTTTTGCATATAGAAACATAGTAGGGCGCGGATCCAACGTCAGTACTGAATCTTAACCTCACTCTTTAGTAAATTTAAATTCAAAGTTTCACAACAATACGTGCAGTGTTCTCAGTACAGTAAATTTTTAAGTGTCACCAAGTCATTAGAAAAATGGAACTCAACCGAGAACATTTCCGCGCCATAATTTATTACAACTTTCTGAGACAATTATCGCAACAAGAATGCCTTGCTGAGTTACTGTCTGTTTTCGGCAACGAAGCGCCACATCGGTCGACAATTTCCCGTTGGTATGAAGAATTCAAACGTGGACGGGTGAGTCCTAGCGACGATCCCAGGGTGGGTGGACCAAAAACGGCAGTCACCCAGAAAAACGTCGATGCTGTGCGCAAACTCATAATTGAAGATAGACATGTGACATATCGCGACATTGAAGCGTCGTTGAAGATCTCAAAGACCTCAATTCAAAAAATTTTACATGAAGAATTAGGAGTAAGAAAATTAGTTTCTCGTTGGATACCCCACCTGTTGACTCAAGAGCAGAAAGCGGCCAGGGTTAATTGGTATCAAAAAACAATGTGTATAGCATTGTTAGTGGTGACGAATCGTGGATTTACTGTTATGAACCAGAAGATAAACGACAGTCGGCTGTTTGCGTGTTCCAAGGTGAAGAAAAGCCAACAAAAGTCATCCGTTCTCGAAGTGTTTCGAAAAAGAGGGTCGTGACATTTGTGTCAAAAGCGGGTCATATTGAAACAATTCCTCTTAATGAGCAAATAACTGTTACTGCGGATTGGTATACCAACATTTGTTTGCCAAAAGTCATCACCGAGCTTTGAAAAATCAATCCCGAAAGAAGAATCATCCTCCACCAAGATAATGCAAGCTCGCACACATCCCAAAAAACAAGGCAGTATTTAACGGAAGAAAACGTGGAATTATTGGACCATCCTCCATATAGGCCCGATCTAAGTCCTAACGATTTCTTTACTTTCCCGCAAATTAAAAACAGACTGCGTGGTTAAAGGTTCCAGTCACCTGAAGAAGCAGTTGACGCATTCAAAAATGCCGTTTTGGATCTGCCAGCAAACGAGTGAAATAAGTGCTTTGAAAATTGGTTCGAGCGCATGCAGATGTGTATTAATCTTCGTGGAGAATACTTCGAAAAACAATAAAGTCATTTAAAAATACCTACCGTGTTGTTTTATTTCCAGATGCAAAACTTAAAAGACATCCCTCGTACTACCTCATTTTTTTGATGTTAGTATGTTTTATACTTCGCGGTCCGGCCGACTGGTGTATGTGTTTCTCAGTCTGTAGTGGGTATCGTACTGTTAAGAATGACAAGTAACTCTGGACACTTCCATTTACTTCCCATTGAACCCCAAATCTACAACATTTATGAAAATTCCTTGTGACTAATAACTGACCTCTCATCTTGGTGTTGAAAAATGGGCCTTACTGATTCGCGAACGTTTTGTCTTTCAGAGCAAAATGGCAAAGAATAATTTAAGCTAATCTGTTTAAAAAAAAAGATAATTTTGGATCCTGCACCTACTATGAAAATACCGTCACAATCCATAGTCAATGGGATTTGTTTTTAAACTAATTTTTTACGAACAGTAGCCATCATATTAAAATATGGGCCTCGCATTAAGTTAATGGAGAATGAATATTAGCTGAGAATCAAATTCAATATTAAAGGTTTCTTGTCTAATCGCACGTTGGAATCTCCATTGAAAAATGTTATTGGTCCTTGTAAAATTTCATTTGGCCAAAAACAGGCTACAAAGTTCAAAGTACTTTTGAATCCGTAGAATATTTTACAACAAATTATTTGCTAGTGGTTAAAGTTTGAGGGTTGCAGTGGTCAGAAATGGTATATCTCAATTTTTTGACGTTAGTATATATATACTCAAAGATCTCGCCAACAGGTATCTGTGATTCGCAACCGGTAGAGGCTGCCGTATTGCATTGGATGACATCTACCACTTGACACTTGGCCTCCTATTGGACTAGAATCTTAAACATTTTTGAAAATCACTTATGGTTGCTTGTTGCTTATCTGACATATTGTCGTCAAAGATTGATACATTATCTTGGTGTTGGAAAATGAGCTTCATTGATCCATAGGATTTCTATCTTCCAGAGTAAGCAGGCAAAGAACAATCCAAGCTATTCAGCTTAAAAAAAATAATTTTAAATTCTGTAAATTGCGTCACAATCTAAAGTCAACGAGGTTTGTTTTTGGGTTAGTTGTACTGCTGAGAGTACTCATCACATTAAAATATGATTACCGTATTAGCTGAGAACCAAATGCAGTTATTTAAAAGTTTCTTGTCCAATCGCTCGCTGGAGTCTCCATTAAAATATGTTTTTATACAGTTCCTAATGATTTATTTAAGGGTGTGAATCTACATGAAAAATTAATGTTAGTTTGCCTTATGGTCCAAAAATATTTCCTTATAAAAACTCGGGGTGTTGAAGTTTTAGGAAAAAAATGGAAATTAGTTAATATTTTCAGAACCGCTTCAGATATTTCACTGATATTTAGTACGTAGTGAAAGCCAATAAAGTTGCATATTTTTCAATGCAAAAATCATTTTTAGCCTTAACAGTGGCGTGCGCACGAGTATTGACTTCGGTATTTTTTAAGAAAGAAATGGTACGCCAATAGTTTTTTCCCAAATAAAAATTATTTTTGAATTCCCAATTTAAAACAAATGATATTTCCTGAATTGTTTTCCCTCGATGTTCTATTTTTGGGTAAAAAAATAAAAACCGTTCTATTGTCTAACTTGTAAAATTATTATTAATTTAATTGGAAAAATTAAACATCAAATTGCCCACTTCACTTAGTATGCATGCTTCCGCCCTCCTTCTCATGGAATTGGGCACTCGTTGAAATATCCCTGGAGTGTTTTTTATTCTATCTCAAGCTGCAACTATTCTTTCTCTTAATTCCTCTGCAGTGTTAACGAGACTTGTGATCATTAGTGTCTTAAGATAGCCCCACAAAAAAGAAATCTAAACTGTTGAGGTCCGGGGACCTTGGTGGCCATTCTTGGGGCCCACCGCGGCCAATCCAACGATTTGGATAAACAGTAGGTAAATAATTATGAATCGCTACACTGAAATGCGCTGGTGCACCATCATGCATGCACATATTGTTTCTTATTACTAACGGAACATCAAAAAGCAAAGGCAACTGTTGTTGAAGAAAATTGAGGTAGGTCTATCCGTGATGTCGTCCCGGCAAGAAGAATGGGCCAGTAAAGTGGTTGCCAATAATTCCTGCCCATACTTTTCCCGAAAATTGGTGTTGGAAGTGGGTTTCGGTTACGGGTTTCGGATTTTTTTCTACCCACAAATGATTATTGGGGAAATTCCGAATGGAATTTCGATAAAAATTAGCTTCGTCCGTGAATAGAATCATTGAATCAAATTACGGATTTTATGTAATTTT